TCTCTCTCTCTATATATATATATATATATATATATACTGTATATACACATATATATACATATGCATTGTCACATACACACACACACACACACACACACACAACAACAGCAACAGCAGCAACAACAACAACAATAAAAAGTGGTTGGTTGGCCATATAGTGATTGTTGCATCTATTGTCACGTAATACCATAAGACACCACTAGATGGAGGCACAAACATGCAAAATATGTCTGAGCCAAATTCCAGTGAACAAATCAGTAGCCCCTCACTGCAGAACACAAGATCCAGGGAGCATGGTTGGATCCACATCTAGGGGGTGGAGACGGGTAGGTTTAGGTATATGTAAGGTGGGAGGAGTTGGATCTGGATCCAACCACGCCCCCTGGATCTTGTGTTCTGCAGTGAGGACCATCTCAAACAAATGGCACATGTGAGTGTTCAGATCCGTATGTGTAAGATATGTCAGTGTTGACTGTAGTTTGTGTGCATGTGTAAGGGGAACACCCTTGCTCTTACTGAGTGTAACAACTGTGTGTGCAGTCACTTTGGATGCTGAACTCACAGACCGACCCTTTCTGTTTCCAGCAGGAGAAGAGGAAGATGCCAGTGACGGTGTGGTCGATTTCCAGTGTTACAAAAGGTTTAGAGTGAGATTTGACTGTGGAAGTGTGGATTTGACTGGTGAATCAGCATTTGTGGAGGATGGCTGCAACTACGCCCACATCAGCCCCGCCTCCCAAAAAGAGCAGAGGAAAACAGGAAATAGAAACTCTACAGGCAGCCAATGAAGAACTGAGGAGCCGATTGAGTGACTTGCAAAATGAACTGCAACAGGAAAGAGGCAAGGTACACCCATCTACTGCATGGCTTTGTTCACATTACACCCAATCTGATTTTGTGCACTAGTAGTACTTCATATCCTAAAAGTATATTTAAAAATGGTTTTTATTGGAGATAATATAATATTAATAACATAAAAAGGCCATTTAAGTGTACTTAAAGAGACACTTTTATGGCACTTAAGTACACCTTTAAAAGGTGCACTTTGTAATCATGCCAAATTAAAAGTTTTTCTTTTACATTGCATTTTAAACCATATGTTTTAATAATCTTTTGTCTTGCTTTAAAGAAATACATTAACTTGATTAGAATTTTATTGTAATGCTATTCAATAATAAGTACATATTATTGAAAAATATATTTTAAAATTAAATTGAAACTAAACCGCAACTTCATCATTACAAATATATTTAAATGCATGACATACACATTTCAATAGAAATAACAATAAAGTATATTTTAGTTTAACATAAATGCTTGTTAGTACATTTAGCAGAACACTTTAACCTTACAAGACAGTAGAAGTAATTATGAAATTTCATATAAAGATGTACTTAAGTCATACTTAAGTGGGTCAAAATAGCAATATGCAATTACAGGAAGTGTGCGAAAGACTGAGCAGCACAAGCACTCGGTCGCTCTCACTGAACTCCGCGTCAAGCTCCATGAGGAGAAGCAGCGAGAGGTGGCGGCCACACGAGAGAGCCTGTCTCGGCAACACGAGACCGAGCTGGCCCGGGCGGCACGACTCCGCGAGACAGAACTGTCCCGGCTTCAGGCGCTGGTGTGTATTTTACGGGACGGAGCCAGCAGCGAGCTACGTAATGCCCTGAAGGAGGAGGCACGAGAGGAGGCCCGCAGGAGCTATGAGGCAGAGAAACTCAGGCTCACGCAGGAGCTGCAGGAGGCGAAGACGTTGCGGCGGCAGGCAGAGGAGGTGCTGTCCAATGCTGTGCAGGCCGACAGAGCCAAAGCTGCTGATCTCAGGGTGGCCCATCAAGCTCATCAGGAAGAGATTCAGAGAATCAAACGCGAGAGCGAGAGAGAAATCCGGAGACTGGTAAGAAGGATGGAAGGAGTTATTTTAAAAAAGTTCAGGTGAATGTCACCACATAGAATTGTAAAAACAATGGCTGATAGTTCTGCTCCAGTCTCAAGCCATTGGTTGAATCAGTGTGGCTGCTCCGGATCAAACAAACAAAGACAGAGTGGGGAACCAACCTACAAATGTTTATACTTACATACTTATACAGTTGTCTCTGCGTATTAAGCTTGAATAGAAGAGAAAATATTGACATGCATCACCTTTCAAATATCGGCTAAGTTGATATTAATGTATAAAAGCCCTCAAAATCAAAAACCTCATTCCTTATATCAATCAGTCACAAATAGTGTTTCATATGACAAAGAACAAATAGACAGGATTTAAGTTTTTTTTGCACCGATTTGATATTAGCGCCCTTATAATTAAAGACACCGGATGTGTTCAGTACATCATCAAATAATTGGCCAGACCAAAAGCTTATTTTTTTGATATACATACATTTTTTAAACAGTTTATGTATAATACCATTCAAAGGGTGGGGTCAGCAAGTTTTTTTAAAATGGTTTTGTTTATTGTGAAATATTATAACAATTTTAAATATCTGTTTGCTATTTGAATGTATTTCAAAATGTAATTTATTCCTGTAATGGCAAAGCTGAATTTGCAGCTTTCAGCTTCATAACTTCAGTCTTCAGCGTCACATATCATTCTAATATGTTGATTTGGTGCTCAAGAAACATTTCCTATGATCTCAATGTTGAAAAGAGTTGTGCTGCTTCATATTTTTGTGGAGACTGTGATACCCTTTTTTCAGGATTCCTTGATGAATAAAAAGTTCAAAATAACAGCATTTATTTGAAATAGAAAGATTTTGTAACATTGTAAATGTCTTTACTGTCAAAAATCTAAATCTTAAAACAAAAATCTTACTGGCCCAAAACCTTTCAAGTTTTTATATATTTATATATGCATTAGTAGGAATTACCTCAATGCTATTTTTGCTATTAGTACAGCAGCTAGACCTGAAGGAAGGACATTTTGTGAATTGGACCACAAAAAGCATGAACTCAAAAGTGTGTTTGTGTCAGATGGACGAGTTGAAGAGCAGAGATCGTGTGGTGCAGTCACTGGAAAAAGAGCTGGTTGTGCAGTCGGGACAGACACAGCGTCTACTGCTGCAGAAGGAGGAATCAGAGCGGCATTATGGGAGTCCGAAGAGAGAGGTGGCGCCATTCCTCGGGGAAAACACAGACTCTGTCAATAACCAGGTTTGTTCTGTTCTGCGATCAGACATATCTGACAAAAAGCTTTTATATCATCAGGACCATTAACATTCATTAGAGCTGGACTAACATGACGAGAACTTTTTCCTGCATGATGAACTTTGCCATCACACAATGTTTATCCACTCATAGGACGCGGATGAGAGGGATGTACGGAGGTTTCAGCTGAAGATCGCTGAGCTGCAGGCAATCATCAGGAAACTAGAGGACAGAAACACCCTGCTGTCAGATGAGAGAAATGAACTGGTACATACACATACACTCTCGACAAACTAAAGGCAAAAGTCATATAGGAATTTATCTAATAGGATCTTATCTGAATCATACGCTGTAAAATATCCTGTTAAAGGGATAGTTCACCCAAAAATGAAACTTCTGTCATTAATTACTCACCCTCATGTCGTTCTAAACCCGTAAGACCTCCGTTCATCTTCGGAACACAAATTAAGATATTTTTGATGAATTCTGAGAGCTCTCTGACCCTCCCATAGACAGCAAGGTAACTACCATGATCAAGGTCCAGATGCGTAGCAAGGAGATCGGTAAAATAATCCATGTGACATCAGGGGTTCAACCGTGATTTTACGAAGCTACGAGAATACTTTTTGTACGCAAAGAAAATAAAAATAATGACTTTATTTAACATTTCGTCTCCTCCGCGTCACCATAGCGTCATTTTGGAGAATATCCACTGAACGTAAAAAGGGTATGCTGTTCTGAGTCAGCTGGACCTTGATCGTGGTAGTTACCTTGCTGTCTATGGGAGAGTCAGAGAGCTCTCAGAATTCATCAAAAATATCTTAATTTGTGTTCCGAAGATGAACGGAGGTCTTACGGCTTTGGAACGACATGAGGGTGAGTAATTAATGACAGAATTTTCATTTTTGGGTGAACTAACCCTTTACATTTAGAGTTCAAAATGGCAGCTGTTATTGCCAACAATTCAGTGTAAAAATGACTGACAATGTTTCAGTAATAGGATGGAATATTGGTGACTGTATGTATATTTTACAATTTATAACCGACTATTTCATTAAGTGATATAATGTTAATATACCAAGCTACTCGAACTACCAAAATACTTTGCAAAATGTACCAATAACCAGGTGGTACAATAGAAAGCCACATGATGAATGCATCACAAATGGCCTGATCATAAACATGGCCGTATAGCTGATGCGCAGGGTGATGCAGACAAAGCACCATCAGGGTAACACATTATACTAAAATAATGCAATAATCATTAACTAAAAAAACAAAGCATTACTGTTAACATAAATATAAAGAAACAAAACGTAAAATATAATCATATGTGGTGTGTCACAAAGGGAACTTTGTCATGTGACTTCTGGGAATGTCCTTTTACCATTTTTTCACAGTAAATTATATGGTAATTAATAGTTTTTTCTTCTAAAAAACATACATTTGACAATACTTTGCAGTAAAATTACATGTGATGTTAAACCGTTTACAGTTTTTCAATAGTTTTTTAACTGTAAATGTGAAAGATTATTGGGAACAATGTTTTAAATCTGTGATATTCAACTGGTTTCGCTTAATGACCCAGCTTATATATCATGTACCAAACCTGCATTTAATGTATTATACTGTATATATTATTTAACCTGCATCTTCTCCTCTGTTAATTTATCATAATGATGAATGATTATACGGTTAGTTGTATTTTATTGTTTGCATTTGGCATTATCATTTTCACTGCTGACTTCTCACCCACTAAAGCCACTGTTCTCAAAAGATTTGTATTTTGTGTTGTAAAAATCTGTAAGATCATTTTCATAAGATCCTTATGGAAATCCAAATTGTAGTTTAGCACAAATGTCTTGCATTCTGTATGTAGATCAGTCTCTCTCTGTCATACAGCTGAAACGTGTGCGAGAAACAGATGCAGAGATAAAGCCTCTTATGGAGAAGAATAAACGGCTGAATAAAAAGAATGAAGAGCTGCTGCAGACTCTACAGCGCATGGAGGACAAACTGAAGACACTCAGTAGAGAGAACGCAGAACAGGTTTGTTGTTAAAGGAAAAACGGAAAATGATGGGAAATAATGTAGGACAGGACATAATTTTAATAATCAGGATCTGATTGTCTCAGCTGTATTTACATTATCAGAAAGGAAAATTTGTCTCCGAAGGCAAGGCAAGTTTATTTACAGTATATAGCACATTTTATACACAATGGTAATTCAAAGTGCTTTACATAAAAGCAATGAAAATAATCATAATAAATAATCACAACAATAAAACAAGGAAATTAAAAACTTTTAAAATATCTAAAATTGATTTAAAATGAATTAAAACAGATGAGAATAGAAAAAAGATTATACATAAAATACAGTGCAATCAGTTCGGACGTAGCGCAGTGCTCATTCACTAAATGCACAGCTAAACATACGAGTTTTGCACTGCAAAAAATGGCTTATCATACTTAGTATTTTTGTCTTGTTTCTAGTCAAAATATCTTAAAATTCTTAAATCAAGATACTTTTACTAGATAAGCCAAATGACTTAAGACATTTAGTCTTGCTTCCAGGGGAAAAAAACTAAATTAAGTGCATTTTGCTTAAAACAAGTAAAATTATCTGCCAGTGGGGTAAGTAAAATATTCTTAAAACAAGAGTATTTTACTTACCCCACTGGCAGATAATTTTACTTGTTTTAAGCAAAATGCACTTAATTTAGTTTTTTTCCCCTGGAAACAAGACTAAATATCTTAAAGGGGTCATATGATGTTGCTAAAAAGAACATTATTTTGTGTATTTGGTGTAATGAAATGTGTTTATGCGGTTTAAGGCTCAAAAAACACATTACTTTCCACATACTGTACATTATTGTTTCTCCTCTATGCCCCGGCTTTCTGAAACACGTCGATTTTTACAAAGCTCATCGGTCTGAAAAGCGAGGTGTGCTGTGATTGGCCAGCTATCCAGTGCGTTATGATTGGCCGAATACCTCAAGCATGTGACGGAAATGTTACGCCCCTACCATACTGTGATGATGCCCTGTCCGGCCGG